CAAAGAGAAAGAAAAAATTTAAATCGCATCATATGACCCTTTAAATAGAGTCGCGATATGAACTAGTATCTGTAAATATTAAGCCGCAAAGATACTATCAAGGTTTCCCCGGTAACACTGTACACAAAGCAGCGCTCCACTCAAAACCCTGCTTTATCAGATATTACATGCAAGATTAAATAAAAATGACATCCAAAATTTTCTGAAGACAGTCTTACAACTTTTGTTTAAAAGAATAATCACACAATACGCTATTTCTTCCATGTTTTAATTTTAATAGTAAACCCTTTGTTTGACAAAAAATAAAGAGTTTAACTCTCATTTGATTAAAAGATAAATTAAATTGATTTATGCCTTCATTTGCACTGTACTGTAAATTAAAACTAACTGAAATTTCTAGTGTCACATAGGCCCAGACATTTCAATAGGCTATTGAACTAAGTGTGCCTGTAAAAGGCTATTAGTGTTATAGTTTCATGAAAATAGTTGCAGTCTTCTTAACTTCTACAATATAGTTATGAAGACAAATTATTTACACTTATTATATAAAAAAATTTAAGTTAACCCATTGATGTGCATTAGATGATGAATTGAAGTCACCTCTACTATTGTAGGTTATGTTTTAGTCATCAGAAAATAATTAATGAGGAATTGAGAGGTTATGCTATTACACATACATTTCTATCATGTAAATTATTGAAGCCAAATACTTACATTTCCCCAAGCCAAGGACAGAATCTTGCGGGAGCGGGTCTCTACTCTGGCCCTCGAGGTCCCCTTTCCTGCAATAGTTTAGCTCCTGGCTCGATAAAACTCACCTGCCTTTAGCTTTCTTGTAATGAAGAAGACCTTGATTAGCGTGTACAGGTGTGTTTGATTAGGGTTGGAGATAAACTCTGCTGGAAAGGGGGTTTCAAGGGCCAGAGTTGAGAACTTCAGAAAATTCTGGCAGGTGTATTGGGGCAAGTTGGAGCTTAATTCTGTAAGACACCGGCCCTCCAGGGCAGGTATATGATCAAGCGTTCATGTTGATGGTTTTGATGCATTACATACCTAAATGTTTTGATATCTGTTGTCTTGTGCTATTAAACTGCTGTTAACTTTTCTTTGTTTTTCACCTTAGACCTAATGATACTGAAAGAGGAGAAAGTAGTACTTAAAGAAAAAGAAGAGGAAGATCAATATTTCATAACTGGAGAAAAATCTTTTTGTTGCTCTCAGACTGAAAAGACTTCCACACGAAAAAGAGCTCAAGAGAAAGAAACTACAAGTTATTTCACTTGCTTACGGTTTGGAAAGAGTTTCAATCAACAAGGAAACCCTAAAGACCACATCAGCATTCACACTGGAAACAAGACTTTCACCTGCGAACAGTGTGGAAAAAGTTTCAATCAAAAAGGAAACTACAACAAGCACATGAGAGTTCACACTGGAGAGAAGCCTTACACATGCCCTCAGTGTGGACACAGTTTTGCTCAAAAAGCACACCTTACTGTTCACATGAGACTTCACACTGGAGAGAACCTTTACACATGCCCTCAGTGTGGAAAGAGTTATGCTCAACAAGGAAACCTTAAAGTCCACATAAGAATTCACACTGGAGAGGATCCTTACACTTGTCCTCAGTGTGGAAAAAGTTTCAGTCAACATGCATACCTCAAAATCCACATGAGAATACACAATGGAGAGAGGCCTTTTTCCTGCCAGCTGTGTGGAAAAAGCTTCACTCGTAAAATAGGTCTTAAAAGGCACATGACAATTCACACTGGCGAAAAGCCTTACACATGCCCTCAGTGTGGAAAAAGCTTCTGTCAACATGGAAACCTTACAGTCCACATGAGAATTCACAATGGAGAGAGTCCCTTCACGTGCCAGCAGTGTGGACAAAGTTTCAATCATAAAGTAAGCCTTAACAGGCACTTGAGAACTCACACTGGAGAGAAGCCTTAGAGATGCCAAAAGTGTGAAGAGAGTTTTGCTCCACATGGAAACCTTAAAGTCCACATGAGAATTCACATTGGAGGAAACTCTTTCAACTGCCAACAGTGGAAAAATGTTTCAACCGAAAAGGAAACCTTAAGTAACACATGACAGTTGCCTCGAGAGAACCATTTTAAATGTCATTAATTTGTTTTTTTTTTACAGATAAGTAGAACATCTGTAAAGTTGCTTTACAGCTGAATCGCGTCTTACAACACTGGCTGCGTTCACACTTGGCATTAACATGCGATCACCGTGATCTGATCAAGCAGATCGGATCATCAGTCAATCAGGACACGGCGCGTTTACATCTAGATAACCGATCGGATCTCTCTCTCCCGCGCTACATTTTAATAAGTCTTACACCGTGTCTACACCGGATGCGAGCGACACGACAAAATACTATAGAACCCATTATAATCAGTACACTGGATGTGGCGCGGCACGACAAATCCCCGACAGTAAACTGTTGCTTCGTTCTATTTATGACGTACTGACACAAAGTTCAAATGGTTTGCAATGGTCACTTTATCGCGTCCAGTGTAGACAGCCTCACACTGTTGCGGCACGGTGAGACTAGACTTGTGCCGGTATTCGGTAATGCGATATATCACGGTAATGAATATGCACGATATTGTTATCGTGGGCGCTTCTAAATACCGTGAATAATTATATATTATAAATTATTCAAAATTTTGAATGCATTTTAAGAATACTTTTCCCATAAACTGGTCAAAATGCACAACACTGCTGTATGCTGCGTGAAAAGACTTAAGTATTAACTTATAAGACTTAAGTATTTTTTTTAACAAAGATTAATAACTTCTGTAGCAAATGTAGCTATTGCTCATTGTGAGTGTTAATGCATTAACTAAGGTTAACTAATGAGGTCTTATTGTAAAGTGATACCTATTGGTCTTTATAGTTCTTTTGCACTTTAATCTGTGTAAAACTTTTAACTTTATACATTTTTCTGTATTGCTTTATTGCATTTAAATGTTCAGTTATTTTTGTTATAAGAAAAAAGTTATTAAACCTGTTATACTGTATTATGACAGCACTTTTTTTAAAACTAAATTCCAATATCGTGATAATACCGTATACCGTGATAAAAGCATTAGCAATTAATCGCAACATGAAAATTTGATACCGGCATATCCCTAGGTGAGACAACTGTCACGTCTGGTGTAGATACTTGTCTTTTCAATGTGTATGTGGACAACATCCGGATACAGGTCGTATGTTAATGCCAAGTGTAAACGCAGCCACTGACACTGGTACTGAACTGAATTGGATCAACACTGAACTGATTCTAACCGAATAACCACATTGGTGTCTTTTGTAGAACTTTTTTTTTTTTTAGCTGAATTGGCCTTGTTTTTTTTCTCAGCTCTATAGAAATAAAGGTGACTTGACTGACTTGAGTTGTCATGGAAATTCTCAATACTAATCTGACTACTTTACCATTGACAATTCAAACAACCTCCTGTTGTCAATATAATTGGGTTGTCAAAAGCACAAACATCGGTACCAAGTCTGTACTGAAATGTTCAAAATGTGACAATACCAGCGTTTCCCCCTAGCATTTTGAGCACTGTTGAGCTGAGTCTTAAATATCTCTGATTGGCCATTGTGTTCACACGCTCAACAGATATGTCTGTGATTGGCTACAATGATCATCGCTTCAAAATCATTGTAAATACACATCTAAGGCTACGTCCACACGAAGCCAGAGCTTTCCCTATCCGATCTTTTTTTTCCCCTCGTCTCAAGAAATATCTGCGTCCACACGAAACCACAAAACTGACACAAAACGATGTAGTATACATGCCAGACCAGTATGTGGCGCTGTAATTCTGCCACAGAGATACACTAAAAATGCAGAAGAAGACTTGGACTATGCGCATAAACCTTGCGCGCGGTATATAAACGAACATGGAACAATACATTTATTAATCTGTGTTAATGTTAGTTAATAAAAAGACAATCGTTCATGTTTTTGTTGCTGTTACGTGACGTATCGGTGTCTGACTAGGGGCAAGACGTGGGCTGATGACGTCATAGTTTCAGAAAATATACGGATTCGCAGTCCACACGAAAACACAAGGACGGCGTTTTCAGATTTATCCACTCTGGGACATGGTTTAAAAAAATATCGGTTTCACTCTCCCAAAACGCCGGATCCGTGTGGACGAAACGCCTATACGATACAAAATTTATGCGTATACAGCTAAACGCGTTTCCGTGTGGACGGGGTCTAAATCAAATATGCATGCTCTTCACTGAGCGTTTACACCTGGGAGTGTTTTAAAGCAGGCGTCTATCAGTGGATCTGTCTATGAGCGGATATATGTTATTCAGTCTAACGTCAAGTTAAAAGCAATTTAAATAAAAAATTCAATAAAACTGTATTATTAATTTATAATTTTTCATGATACAATCAGGGTGGATAAAAAGAAATAACTAAAAAATAACAATAATAAAAAGAAAAAGCATGACAAGTAAAAATGGAAGTAGTAAAATAAATATATAAATACATACTATCAGCAGATAACAATGGAAAGTTGGGAAATACTAAGACAAAGAAAGTAGTAGGTGCACTTAAAACGGATTTCTAAATATCAATGTAAAAGGAAATCTAGTAGTTTGAATGAAAAGGGTTAAATAGACAAATTAAGATTTTGCTAATTTTGTATGTATGATAAAAAGGGCTTCCAAATTTTAGAGAATGATTTGTTGGCCCGGTGAAGAGAATTTTTTCTTATGAAATATAAGACCTCTTTAATCCACCGAGAGTGTGATGAGAGATGGGAGTTTTTCCCATTATTTAAGCGAAATTTGTCATCTGGCCAGCAATGTGAGGAAAGCAATAAAATCAGCAAAATAGCGTGGTAGAAAATAATCGTCAGGCAGGACACCAAACAGGCCAATGAGTGGTGAGGATTGAATATTTGAAGAGGAAATGACTGAGAGAGAATTGAAAACAGACAACCAAAATGAGGAGAAGGCAGGGCAAGAACAAAACGTGTATTAGAGTGGCAGGACTAGAATGGCATTATCGCATTCAGGGTCAATGGCAGGATTAATAAGGGCCAGTCTACTTTTAGACCAATGTGCTCTGTGACAACTATACATTGTATCACTCCATGATGAGCACAAATAGAAGAGGAATGAACCTGATCGAGAAGTTCTGCCCAAGTCTCTTCCTCTATTTTTTACGAAGTGAGTCGAAAGATGTAGACTGAGAAGAGAAGACTGCACTGTACAACTTTGAAATGGACCCCCTTTTACATGGATTGACACTTAGAATCCTATCTACCTCGGAGGGTGAAGTATTGTCTGGAATTTGTTTTTGTATGAAATCTCAAACCTGTAAATATCTAAAAAAAAAAAAAAAGACTTTTTAGGAACATTAAAATAATGAATTAACTGAGAAAGACACCAAAATATCATAAAAAGGCCTATTTTTTTATCTTTTTTTCTATAAGTGTGCATTATCTTTTGAGTCAAATTCTTACATTTAATCAGTGAATAAGTATAAGACATTTGGGCTGTTACCAAGCAAATGAACCTGAATAGACAAACAGAGTGAGCCTCAGCGCGAGCTTGTATTCTGTTAACTTACTGCAATTCTCTCTGATGATGCAGTAACTTACCGCGGGGAAGAAAAAATCTTCGGTCTGTCCAATGATTGTAAACAGTCATTAGGTCCGTCAGACTGAAGATATTTTAGCGGTAATGTGACAAAGAATATTTAAGACCCATCGAATCCAAATTTAAGACATTTTAAGACTTTTTAAAGCCTTATTTTAGGAAAACGTTATTTAAGACTTTTTATGGACACCCTGGTTATGCTTCCGTCTTCTGTCAGCTCACTTTCTGATTGGTTATTGTTTCGTTTCACGTGATAATCTCCCCCCACACAGCAGGATTTCTGATCGTAATTATTCAACATGTTGAATATTTACGATTCGCGATCGAGGCGCTTCCGATGTTCTTCCGAGCAGATTCAGTCACTCTTAACACACCTCACACCACAGGAAAATCTGATAAGATAATCTTTAGAATCACCAAGATAATCGGGACATTACCTAGGATTGTCGGAAGGGGAGAAATCGGCCCCAAATCAGCACGATTATCTTGACTCTTTCAGGCAGTGCTGAGGAGCAGAGTCAGGTGCTGGACTGCTGTGAGAGAAGAGGAAGAGTGTCTTTCTTACCCCAGCAGCAGAAGGCAGGCTCTTCTGAGGGAAGTACAGGAGGGTGACACTTCACTCTTGATATTTTCATGGAGGATTGATGCAGTGTTTTGCTGTAGAACGAGGCTCCTCCTCAGCTCTCAGAGACTTCAGATTCCATGCAAACTGGAAACTTTTCATACAATTTACCAAATTAATGTAGTCAGGTTTATTTCTTTTTGTTAGAACACATGGCAAAGGTATGAGAAAATTGTCAAACGTGTTTCTCCTCTTCCTCTTCGTCATCCTGAGTCTGTACTGTCGTCATCCTTCTCTGGCAGCTGAAAGAGAGGATCACCTTGTTAATGTTGCTAATGTTTTCGAAAGAAGTCCCTTCTGCTCACCAAGGCTGCATTTATTAGATATTTTATGCGATATTTCTGTGATGCAAAGCTGATTTTTCCAGCAGCCGCCACTGAATCAGTCTTCAGTGTCACATGATCCTTCAGAAATCATTCTAATACGCTGATTTGCTGATTATTATCAATGTTGAAAACAGTTGTGCTACTTAATATTTGTATTTAAGCCGTGATCCTTTTCCAGGATTCTTTTATGAATACAAAGTTCAGAAAGTAAAAAAAAAAAAAAGTTTAAAACAAAACACTTTTGTAATATTATAAAAGTCTTCACTGTCACTTTTGATCAATTTAATGCATCCTTGCTATTAATATCTTCCCAAAGAGGGGGAAAATAAAATAAAAATCCCCAAACTTTTGAACCATATACAAAAATATGAAGCAGCACAACCATTTTAAACACTGATAATAAGACGCTGAAGACTGGATGCTGAAAATTCAGCTTTGATCACAGCAATAAATTACATTTTAAAATACATTCCAAACTTCTGAGCAGCAGTGTACATTATTACATTTAAATACCTTGTAATAAACAATGCACACATTCTCAAAGAACTTACATTCTGATGATTACTTACTTCCCTCACTGCTGCCTCCCTCAGTCATTCCCAGACTTCCTCGTTTTTCTCCTTTCCCCTGTATCTAGTGTCCAGTAGCCTATAACAATTAATTTTATAAACAATATAGCATTAATGGTCTCTGCACTCTAACATTACTGTTTTGTCTTTTAGACCGAATTTTACTTAGTTATATTTTATGCACACTTGCACATATCTATGGGCTTAAATCTCTATGCATTATACAGGACTTTTATGTTGATCTAGAGAGGTGACGTCATAAGGCTGCGCCGCTCTCCTGAATCTGTTATGATTCGGCTAAAGAAAGGTTTGTGTTTTAGGCATTTTGGTGTTTACATCGATACAACCCGTTCAGGCAATGTTTTGTTTTTTTTACAAGCGATGTAAGATGAATTAATCACCACTGAATGCACATTTCAATGCGTCATCTAACATTAATGAAGGTTATTTGTGTAAGTAAAGCGCATCCACATGATTAACAAGTGAAGGCGCGTCTCATTTCGCTCTCTGTATAGTGAATCATTTTATGACTGAATCAAATGTTTCGCAAAATGATTCACTGATTTAAGCGCTCGAATCACCGCTGCTCAAAACAGTGTAAATGCAACGAGAACAACAAACAAACATTTGTAATGACAACTTTTACAAACCAGCAGCAAATGAATATGAAGTGTCTATGTAGGTTGTGTACTTTTATTGATCTGTAGTGCTAGTTTTGAGTGTTTTTGGCAGTTTAAAGCTATTAACTCTCACTCTGACGGACTCCTTTACCAGTGTGCTGGCTACTGAACTATAGGGAGCTGATTGAGACGCACCGAGAGATTTAGTTTGGATTTATTTGTCTTTCTGTGAATTATTCTCATCTTAAACAGGACAAAGTGTCCAAACACACAGAAAAACTCCTGCTGAAGCAACTGAGATCCACGTGACACACTATTATAAAGATGGCGTTTATTAAAGAGGAGAGTGAAGACGTGAAGATTGAAGAAACATTCAGAGTCAAACATGAAGATACTGAGGAACAAACAGGTTGGTT